TAGTAGTAGTAGTAGTAGTAGTAGTAGTAGTAGTTGTTAGTAGTAGTAGTAGTAGTAGTTAGTTGTTAGTTAGTAGTTAGTAGTATAGTAGAGTAGAGAGAGAGAGAGAGAGAGAGAGAGAGAGAGAGAGAGAGAGAGAGTGTTTGAACCTGTTAAGAGGAAATGCAAAGTGATGACCAATTTGGATTTGGGTTGCATATCAAGAGTATTGGATTTGGGTTGCATTTTTATTGGAACTCCAAGAATAGTGAGTGAGTGAGTGAGTCAGAGAGAGATCAGCATTATATTGGTTGGATCCCACCAGCTTACCTACAAGAGACAAGGATGAACCCATGACGATGATCCAAAGGGTGTGGTTTGTATAAGTTGCAGCTCTAAATTTTATCATAAGCATAATTTTGTTGTAAGTTTTTTTTAGGATGGCTAGAGAATTTATTTTGATATGTAATTATAAAATCTTAAACTCCAAAAACGATTCAAACCAAGTGGATCTATAAACACTTGAAAATCTTGAGAAATGGACAATCCATATAAGGTGTTGTGAAATAAACTATTTTTAGGGTTTGAATTTTATTTTATTTTTTATATTCATACATCTCGATGTTGAGATGATCAATTAGAGGAATGTCAAAACAATTTTTATGATGGATATTTGGGGTGCATCTTAATTCCATAATATGATGGATTATTGAGGTGCACTTTAATTCCACATTTTAAGGTTGCAGCCTTATATAAACTTTTTCCTAATCCAAACTGATGCTTTCACATGTACTTTTTCCTAATCCAAAGTGATGCTCTCATATGTTAAAAGATGGTTTGACCTAAACCTCTCATATGTTAAAAGATGGTTTGACCTAAACCTCTATCATATGGTAAATGTCGCTTATATGAGAGCTACGATTACTTGCTTTGTTGAGGGCAGTGATTAAAAACTCGCCTTGGGTAACAAGAGTCTGGTACTGCCGTGTCCAAGCCGAGAGCCGACTTGCGCAAATAAATAGAGGAAGGGAAAAGAACCGGCAAAAGATGCAGAAAAAATATAAAAATAGTTACTTAAAATCGAATTTGATTTTATTTTACATAAGTACAAAAAAAAAAGAAAAAAAAAAAAACTAGGATAAGAAACACTTTGAGAAAAAAAGGTGGAAAAAATGTAGAAAAGAAACAATAAATTAATCTTGGAGATCTTTTTGTTTCCAATCAGAGTGTTGGGGCTAAGAACATTTTAGGACAAATTTTAATAAATTTGGTTGATAAAATGAGGGACAAATCAAGATTTTATGTTTCAGGTTATTATTAATTTTTTTTTGAAATTTGAAATTTCTATTTCTTCTATTTTGATTTTTGTTATAATGATATTTTAGAGGGCTCCACTACCAACATTTTGGGTTAAATTTAAGATAATTTGGTTGAGAAAGGAGTGGGAGATTGCAAGAAAGGTAGTTTGAGCTCTAGGGCTGAAAAATGGTGATTTTTTGTTTTTTTAAATCTTAGCTGCATTAAGAAAAGTGAATTTTTGGCCTGGACTGATTACTCGATTCGAGTCGCACTTTCTAACACTGGTTTGAATTTCATCTTTAAAACTCAATTTCATTGTTTCAAACATTTGCCAGTTCAAATTGAGAATTGTCAATCTGGACTGGGATTTGGTGGGGACCAACAGTTCGAAGTTGGAACTAGGAATGAATCTGATTCTTATAAATGACCTGGTTCTGTCAGAGAATTGGGCGAGCTTTGCCTAAATCGCTCAATTCCCAACATTTTTTTATTTTTAAAATTTAAAATATTATTTATCTTCTCATAGTAAAGAATCGGTCCATTTTGCCAATCTAGACCAGATTTCTAAAGCCCGGTTCTGCCAGCTGGTTTAGATTCTTAAAACACTGCTCAACTATCAACACATTTATTTAAGGGTGAGGTTTATATTAGGTGCCCACCATGTATTATAGAAGTAAGGGCACATCGGAATTTGTTGGAAAATGTAGTTCCGAAAACTTTATGATGGCCCAAAAATCTATTTTCACCTCTATCTAATAAATTTGCAATTTTAAAAAATGATATAGATCGAATAGGTGTATAAACATTTGAAATTGTTTTAAGTAGATGGTCTATATAACTTGTTATTAGAGGCATTATTTGAAGGACTTGAAATCTTTTCTTATTCATGTCTGTACATCTTGAGGTCACGATAGTCAATTTAAATGTTTAATATCAAAAGGGCAAGCATTATATGCTTCCTCTACAACACAAAACTTATATACTTCCTTTTATCCATCTGTCTATTTTGAATGGAGGGCTAAGATTGCCCCAATCACAATGTCATGTCTCTGCACTATTTTATTTTTAATGTTTTTTTTTATAAACTATTTTGATACCAAATTTTGTACGTCCAATCCTCTATTAACTCGCACTAGCGAAATATGTAAAAAAATATTTTCAATAAAATAAACTAAACAAAATACCCCTGGAAGTTTCAAGGGGTATTTTGGTTTCAAAAGGTATTTCGGTCATTATATTTTATCAAAAAATTATTTTTAATATTTTTTATAAGTGCGCTCCAATGAAAAGATGGCATGTACCAAGTTTCATGTTCATACAATTTGTATAAAAAAACTAAAACTGAAATACTTTGAGACATCGAATCTCAGATCAAACGATGAGCGGATCTCTTGATCAAAATTGGACGGCTGGATGGTAGGGGAAGCATAGATCTTCTATGTTGTAGGGGAAGTGTAGAAACCTTTTCCATATCAAAATGCTCTTTCTTGTAGTTTTTTGAGGTAGGCTTTACTTGAATAGTATAAAGTTGACGCTTTATACAAACTTTTCCTTTATCTAATATAAGACTGTTTAGAAAAATGTTATTTTGATCGGCCAATGTACTCAACGTTAAAAAGAAAAAGAAAAAAAAGAGATCAACTAATGTACTCACAACCAAGATGGACTAAAGTCTCCTTTGATCAGCCAATGTACTCAACATTTACAAAAAAAAAAAAAAAAAAAAAAAAAAAGAAAAAGAACAAGAAGAGAAGAGAAAAGAAGAGAGAGAGAGAGAGGGGTCAGCTAATGTTCTCATAACCAAGATGCTCTAAGTACTCGAATATCAGAATCTCAACACGACATAGTTTGCGTAATAATATCAAAGGGTCCTTCTGAAATTTACGAAAATATGGGGGGTGCAAGTTTGTTGTCTAAAATGTGCAGGGGTGTTTTGCAATTTGAATAAAACATGGGAACATTTCAGTTAGTCCGAATTCTCTTGACAAAGTTTAAAATTCGAATTCAACGTAATACGTTCATTTATGGCCTGCATGACTATAGACGTGCGCCCTACTAATACAGAAACCCCCTCCATTTAAAACTAGACCGCATGAAAAATAAAATTAAAAAGAGAAATAAAAATATTAAAAAGAATAATTAAAAAGTACAAATTAAACATTTAAAATAAAAAGTAGAGAAAAAAACACCCATGAAAACTCCTATAAAGAGGCATTTTCTTCTTCTCCTTTTCATGATCACAAACCGAGCCGATTCAGTACCGAGTGGAGTCAAAAGGTGAGTCGAGTTACGAGCCGATCCAGAACATGAAGAGGCTTTTTGTGGTTTTGTTGGTGGTGGTGGGTTGGGTTGGTGTTTCAGGGTTGGATTATGGTGAGGCGTTGAGCAAAAGCTTGCTCTTTTTTGAGGCTCAGCGATCAGGCAAGCTCCCTGCAAATCAACGAGTCAGATGGCGGGGTGATTCAGGCCTCAGAGATGGGTTCCTCCAAGGAGTTAGTCTCTCTCTCTCTCTCTCTCTCTCTCTCTCTCTCTCTCATGTTTCAAATTCTCACTTTTTAACGTGTTTCAATCTCTCACTCTCTCTCTTTTGTGGCTAAAACATGTATCAAATTCTCTTAATTGATCATTAGAACATGTATCAAATTCTCGCCCTCTCAGATACATTTGGAAGTCTCTCTCCCTCCCTCCTCTCTCTCTCTCTCATACATTTCAAAGTCTCTCTCCCTCCCTCTCTCTCTCTCATACATTCGGAAGATTCTCTCCCTCTCTCAAACATGTTTGAAATTCTCTCTCTAACATTTTCGAACTCTCTCTCTCTCTCTCTCTCTCTCTTTCTCTCTCTCTTAAACATGTTTCGAAAACTCTCTCAACTACACATCTCTCTAGCCTTGTTTTTCCTTTGGTTTTTGCTGGAATTATGTGCTAGTTTTTCTCTTTAAAAAAATTTTTATCGTTAATTTTTGCATGAATTATCTGCTCATTTTCTGTCTTTTGGTGATTTTTAGTTGTTATAATTTTCAGAAAGAAAAAGTTTATATAAGGTTACAAATTTTAAAATGTAGAATTAACAAATGCACAATAAAAAATCCATCGGATTGTATTCGTTTTAATGTTAGTAAAACCCTCCAATTGATCATCTCG